AAGGTTCCCTAGAAAAAACTCTGCAACCATCATTTTTATGAAATGATGTTTTAATAAAAAAAACGTTGTTTAACCATGCAAACATGAACTACATATTTTTTATATTTCTTGTAAGATTTTTAAAAAATTGCAACATTTTAATCAGAGAGCCGTTCAATTAATTTTTAACTGAACAGAAGCGCTACTATAGTGCTGTTTTATTTTTCATATTATAATATATTGTATTTGTCCATTTTTATTTTTAATAATTTTAGAATTATCATAGAGCAGTTGGAAAGTCATTATAGTAGCTTTGAAACAGTATTATGTTTTGAGATAAAGAATATAATTAAATATAATAAATCTTACCTAAGAAAAAGCTATAAAATTTTAAAAACACCCGCATTCTAAAGGTTAACTTGAAATAAGCACACCTGATACTATTTAACGATATCTTTGAAGCATTCGCCTTCTTTCCTCTGTTATTAAATCCGATGCAAAAATTTTTATTTTTTAATGATAGATTATTGCAGAGTAATAAATCATTGTTTCTATTGCAAAAAAAAATTTATTAAAGCGAAATGTCTGTGTAAATGCAAAATTACTTTTTGCGATTTGTATTTCGCATTTTTTTTTCTTAAGCTTTAAAATTTAATTCATTTAATTTTTTAATTAATGTTTGGAAAAATAATTTTGCGAGAAATAGATGATACGCAGTAAGTGCACTCTTAAGAGACATATAGTCGAATGCCTCCGTGGCGCAATCGGCTAGCGCGTTCGGCTGTTAACCGAAAGGTTGGTGGTTCGAGCCCACCCGGGGGCGATATTTTTTTACAATTATTATACAATTGTTTTTAATATCATATTAAATATCAGTTCGTGATTCCTGTAGATATACAAAAGCACAAGTTTTATGTTATAATATTACAATAGATTGAGGTAAAATGCATAGTCAACTATTTACAAAACGAATGATATAAAAAGATAATTAACGATAAACTAATTAATTTTTGTTATATTTCTTAATTCTGTTTAACTAAAGAAAATAATTAAAAAACGAAAAAAAAAATTATATTGACCCCGACGTGATTTGAACACGCAACCTTCTGATCTGGAGTCAGACGCGCTACCGTTGCGCCACGGAGTCTTGTGATGTTGCCGTCTTCTAATGCAATGATATGGAACGGTACACTTAAAATGATAGACTCATAATATAATATTCGAATGATAATTATAATAAAATATGTACTTAAAATCTATCACGTACCTTATTTGTAAGTAAAACGCAGGCTAACACACCCAGAGACCACCAATCAACTTCCTGTCCATAATGTTCCTTCTTTAGGATTTCCGGTGCTGAAAAATCATAATGAAAACTTCGCTTAAGTATGACAATAAAAGTGTATTTTATATTTTATACAAAAAAATTAAAATATAAAGAAAAAAAAAGAACTTATTTTTATTTCTTTACAATCAGTTATTATGCTTAAAATTGCATTTTAAGATTAATATTCCAAATTAATAAAATATAAAAATGTTTAAACTCATTTTCTAGAAAACTTTATTTTCTGAATTATGTTAATGTTGTAGCAAATAAACAATATAACGAGTGTATGCTTTATAATTTTATATTATTATATAACATTTTCTTACCCATATACTGAGGTGTTCCACAAAATGTGTTTGTTCGTTCTGTACGATGCAACCATTTGGCCAGACCAAAATCGATAATCACAGCATGGCCATCTTCATCAAGTAGAATATTGGTTGTTTTTAAATCTCTGTGTACTACACCAGCATTATGTAGAAAATCTATATACAACACACGTTTTTGTATAAAGTACGGAGATTTCAGATCCTGTATGTCACTAATAATTGAAATTAGTCTTGGCTCTTGTACATACATTATTGATTGTTGAAATTATTCTTACCTATAGCTAAGGCAATTTCAGCTATATATATCCTAACTACTTTTTCAGGCAAACAGCCGTACTCGTCGACTAGTGAAAATAATTCTCCTCCAGAAATGTAATGCATCACTGCAATATTATTTACATCTGTTAGTTTATTTAAAATCAAATTAAAATTTAAATATTGTAATAATAGAAACATACATATATACAATGTCTTCCTGCCTTGCCATCTGTGGACGGAATTCACTATGAAAGGATGATGCCCAACCATTCTCAGTATCGCTGCCTAAGTATGAAACATCAAATCTGTTAAATATTATGTCAAATCTATACATTTATCAAAGCTGTATCGTCTTAGATATGAATATACCTCCTCCTTAGCTTGTCTGACACAATTTTCTGCCACAATCATGGCTTTGCTAATCACCTTCAGTGCAAAGACCTGACTAGTTTCTTGCTTTTGCACCTTATATACTTTGCCATAAGCACCCTTAGCTATTACATCTAAGAAGACATATCCTGTTTTCAGAGGTATCTCCTTGACTGGAAATTCTGGCAGAAACATTGACTGAGAGCGTGAAATAGGCCATACTGTTTTGGAAGATCCATGAATATCCTGTGTAGTGCAATATCCTTTGGTCCAACTAAAGAGTGAATGAGTACAAATTTAGTTCTTGTACTTATGATATTTAATATGTATAGAAATCTGTTATCAAAGACTAATTACAATGCTAACTCATGTTACCTTTTGTGAGAAGCACGGGACAATGATCTCCTTTCCTCGTTAGAAGCCTGCGCTGTTGCATTGTTGACGCAACTTCCACCAAGCAAATCACTAAGACTGTACTGTAAATCAATAACATTGTCTATAACGCAAAATGTTTATATTTAATTATAATGCATCATGCAAAATGCAAAACAGTATCAGGACATAAACATTTTTTTTTAGTAAACTCAACTAAGAATAACATTACATTAATATTACAATTTTTGAATAATGTAATTGTTAATGTAAAACATATTATTATATTAACATATTATATTTTGTTAAATGAAAAATTATTACTAATGTAACGTTACTGTTGATGTTTACCAAACATCAAATGGGAGGAACAAATTCTTTATTATAGGTTAGGATCTGAGTTTAAACAATACTCACCTGACTATCATACTTCTGCTGATTATGACAGTTCCTTTTGGCGTTGGAGTTGCCCATTAAGTGACAGCTTAATCCGATCGATTGTCGATCCTTTCAAACCGAGCAACTATTCAAAAGCGGCGTTTTTCGATACGTCATTCTGCTGTCGAGTTATCCTAAGTTAAAATACCTGTGGCGTGCCGCCAGTTCATTTGCACGTATTCATACTGTTGACTTATAAAGCATGCACGGCGCGGTACAGCGCGTATAAATCGTGTTATCTCACACGGCTTGATGACTGTAAATGAAATTACTAATTATTATGACAAATTGAGCGACGCTGTGCACAGAATTATTAAATCGGACACAGTATGTGGCACAAATTACGCCAGTAACAAGTTAACTAACAAATTACCCAGTGAATCGTTAAAGATGATGCAGAATTTTATTTACAACGAAAGATCGTGCGGCGAACATGCGCAGTACGCAAGTTCTCCCAAAGTCGGCGAATCACGTGAAGGCAGAAGTGCTTTTAAATATATACTTTATGCATATATATGAGACGCTCGTAATTCCTTTAGAACATTCTATAAATAGCTATATTCCATAACTAAGCTAAACGAATGCAATTTGAATTTACGTGAATGTCAGAATTTAAATATATTTCTCCGGACGAAGAAGTTGAATCAAACGTCACTCGCGATGAATTTGAAACACAGAATCGTAAAAGCGCGAAAACATCGTCCGCGGACCTGCGCAATGAACGTTAATTATAGAACCCGAAATTGTAGAATAAAATTACAGAGCAAAAATTATAGAAGTAATAAAACAATTTGACTTATATTTAAGTAATAAGATTTTTATACTGCACTGCAAGTTTATCTGTAAGTCTTTTTTCCTAAAAATCTTCCTATCCTAAAAATTTTTATTAATATAATCCATAACATTTCTTTAAAGAGGAAATTTAATTTAAATACGTGCTTAAATTTTTTTATTTTATAATTGTAATAAAATTTTTTTTAAATTACAAAGTAACTTTTTAAAATACAATTTAATACATTTTTTAGTTCATCTGATATATTCAGCTTTAAAATTGTAACAATACTTGACTAGGTCTTTTTATTTGATGATACAAGTCGACACAAGTCGATAAGTATCATTCTATCTTTGTTACTCTCTGAATATCAAGAAGGAAAGAACAACGCTTGTGTCGACTCTCTCTTGTGTCATCAAATGAAAAACACCCATCTCTTCTGTTAGTGTTCCTCTAATCAGAGTCTGACCACTTGAAATAACGTAAACTGTAGCATTTTCAGTGCTAGCGGTAATTTTGGAACACAGCCTCTATCAGATTTGGTAGAATGACTACTAAGTTGGCGACACTAGTCACAAATGATGATGCCAGTATTGCTACCTCACGGAGAAGATTTAAACTTCTTAATGTCGAAAGTGATTCTATCGGTAACAAGATTAGGTTGATATTACCGATCTCGCCGGTTATAGGAATTCTCATTAAAAAAAAAAAATTATCGATGTGTGACAAAAGAGAATGTACACATGAAGAATAGAGAATAAGAGGCTGAACTTACATGGACGAGGCCGTCAAAAAGCATGGTTCAAAAATAATCATCTGAATTAATTCGATCGAGATGTCGCTTTCATTCCATGACATCATTCTCGCAATTTACATGATAGGTCATACCAATTTTACATGAAGAATGCTTCTTTATACAGTTTTAATGATAATTTACGTCTTCTTGTTATTATCAAAGCATGATATCAAAGAATAATGTCTCTATTTTTAGGTTATGTATGTTCGGTTGTGCATAAGCGTATGAGAAGAGTTTTGCGATTTAAACGCCATCTACCGAGCACTACCAAACCAATTCAGAAACCTGATTTTGACCACACTTTTCAAAGCTTAGTTCGGCCTCTTATTCTCTATACTCCATAGTCATCCATAACGCCGTGGCATCAGCACATCCATGACCGTCTGTTCACGTGACATTAGCCGCTGCGCCGCCTGTGGTGCGTGGTTGCGTGCGAGTGTAGTTGGGGACCAACCGTGCGATTGATCCTGTGGTGTCAAAAAATCAGTTCTCTAGGGTTTGATTTTTGTATGCCGTCCGCGTGACCGCGGCCTGTGCCCGAGTCATTTGCATGTCAGCCCGCGTCGACGTTGAGCGCGCGATCTAATTATGATCAAATTATTCTCGTTGAAACAAGCGAAAAAAGATGGCGAGTCACCCAAGGCTGGTACCCAGAAGAAGGCGTCCGCGGCACAGCTGAGGATCACGAAAGGTTCGGAGCGATGCCATTGAGCCACGTTGTACGCTTTCTGCATGTTCGTTTTCTCTCTTACTAGGTGCTTCTTTTTTTCTAGACATAAACGAACTGAATCTCCCGAAAACGTGTGGCACGGAATTCCCAGATCCCGACGATTTGCTAAGCTTTAAATTAATCATCTGTCCAGATGAAGTAAGTAAACGCTTGCTCCGGATCTTATAGTTCTTACAGTCAATCAGATCAATATCACTTTTCTTGTCTTGCCAGAAATTGAGATTATTTTTGGTGTTTAGTTTAGATAATTGACACAGTGGCTCCTTTTAACATTAACATTACTTTCTTATATCTTAATAATCTAAAAATTTTTTTTAATTGTTTCAGGGATTTTACAAAGGTGGTAGGTTCGTATTTAGTTTCAAAGTCGGGCCCAATTATCCGCACGAGCCACCCAAGGTGAAGTGCGAGACTCAAGTTTATCATCCTAATATTGATTTAGATGGTAATGTGTGCCTCAATATTTTACGAGAGGACTGGAAACCTGTACTCACAATCAATTCCATCGTTTATGGTCTCCAGTATCTCTTTCTAGTATGTTTACTTGTTATCATTTCTGATATCATTTTCAGTTTGTGATGTTTGGCAAATAAAACTATATTACTATAATATATAGACAAGAAAATATTAGGCACCTTATTAATTATTATTTAAAGTTTAGCTCAAAAATGGATTTATAAAATTTGCTGTGAATTATCCTTTGTTTTAAAAATCCTTTAAACTTATGTATGGTGCCGGTAACCAATAAATAACAATGTTGATAAATTCCAGATGAACGAAAAAAGTGTCTAATATTTTTTAAACTGTATTATTATAATATTACGTCGCATGAAATTCTAATAACAGTATTTATAGTCAGTATTTATTTATAGTCAGATCTTATATTTAAGACCAAACTTAAATGCAGTCTTAAGATATCATAAATCAATTACGGGACTATATTAATGTCCTAAGATATTAAGAGATGGTTGAGATAAGAACATATTAAGATAATTATGAATACCTATATTTGTAAATATACACATCTTCAGTGGCTACCAAAAATTTCTGGCTAATAATAATTTTATTGTATTACTCAGATGAAGTCTACAAATAAATGTCTACATAAGTACCTAATACATTTTAGTATTTAAAATATATAAAATATTGTGCTTTTATAAATTGATTGATTATAAGAATTTTAATTGCTTGAACCAAAAATTGTAAAATTCACACAGAAATATTATTAGGCATCTACTTTGACAAATAGCCTTCCTTATTTGTATTCAAAAATTTTTATTGATAATATAAACTAAAAAACAACACACCCAAAAATTATTATAAAGTTAAGTGACTTGGCAGTCATTATGTATATGTATATATAAAACCTTCTCTCAAAGAATCTGAGAAAATTCTTATTATTACCAAAATTTAGTATATAGAATTTTGTTTTTTATTTGAACTAAGAGGAATAAATGTTTTGACAGGAACCAAATCCTGAAGATCCGTTAAATAAGGATGCAGCTGAAGTTCTACAAAACAACAGAAGGGCTTTCGAACAAAATGTAACGAAAGCGATGAGAGGTGGTTATGTAGGATCCTATTATTTTGATCGGTGTCTCAAGTGATACAGTGCCTCACCGTCAATACTGTACACGCTTCTCCAAGGACTCACTGTAGGTGAAGAGATCCTAAACTACGGAATTAATGTAGGACCACATGGTGTCCTCATTGTCACTTGCGTGATAATATTAACATATTTACTTTCTTTGTGTCTTGCCAGGCCTATATACATTTAATTGGAGACATATTTTTTTCTTAGCAAAAAACTGGGGCGATTTGAATGCATCGTTCATTGTTTTCGATGAATTACCAAGAATGTTTATTGGCCATGGCATTATTTTAGTGAATTTGAAGTGCAGTGTTGAGGGGCTCGTAGAATTATAGTTTGACATTTGGCAGAGAGATAATAGATGTTACGATGTGATTTAAGTGTGTTCCATACATTTACGATTCTGGACCCGAAATTGGATAGTTTTTGGATCCTGAATTTTTAAACTTGTTTTGCGATTTTTATAGATATCTTAATTTATAAAATATTTATTTTCTAAGGGGCGCAAGGAGCACCTATTTTCATAATAATTCACCGTAGCATCTATCAAAATCTGCTTTCATTAAATATATGTACAAGTAACTTATGTATTTTGACTGAGAATGGAATATAAGGCTGTTACAAAACTGCAAATATTTCGTTTGGATTTTCGCAAACAGCAAATTTTTACACCCGACAGAACAGTTCTCTTTCTGATATATGTAAAAATAATTCGAATGTCTTCTTTTTTGTGAGAAAAGTTAAAATTTATTTCACACTAAGCGAAGAAATTGATTTCCTTATGTACAAATACAAACCTTACAGCAGTCATTAATAATTACGAGATTACAATACAATCGTGAGATTTGTTATGCTACAAAATTTAATTTATTATATACTTCGTAATTACTAGAAATATTGGAAAGTATATTTTCAACGTCACGCTTGTACAGAGTCTATATAAAATAATTGAGCATATCTCAATGTAGTTTAGAAAAATTGATACATGCAAGAATCACAGAAATACTTATATAACGAAGTATATTAAAATGTGCCACCGATATTTCTTTCTGCTATTTGCTCTTATATTGATGTATAAATCGGAATATTTAGATAACACCATATATATCTCTTCAATCTGTAGACATTTTGGAATTCATAATAGTAAATATTTATAATAATATACTAGTGAAAATAGAAATGAAAAATAATGATAGTGTATCTATACAAGTGAAAAAAAATTGTCCTTTAAATTTTAATTACACACGTTGAAATTATGTAATGAAATTTAATATTACTATTTTTCTGAATTCTGATCTTATTTAAAAAATAATCTACGATTGTGTGTGTGAATTCCAAACTACTATATGATTGCATATATTTTGTTGTTTATTAAATATTAATTAGACAGATGTAAGAAAGAGTTAAATGCTAATCCACAAACATACTGTAAACTCCAGAAATAAAGGTCTTGGATAAATAAATAAATGACAGATACATAGAGACTACATTTTCAGTTTAATAATGAAGTTTCTATAAACTTCATCTGTATATTAAAGCACCAGTTATAGTTATTTTACCTCTTATTAGTTTATACAATATCAAGACTTAAGCGTATATGTGTGATGTTTTATCGTAAGACTCGCCGCCACTACCATTATTTATAATTTATTTTATTCATTATATAAAAACTACGGAGAGAATATGCGTGTGGTAAATATTCATTACAAAGAAGTTACGACTTGTATCCTATAAAGAGCAAAGGAACAGCTTTTTCGTCTCTTCTCTCTATCAGTTATTTTAATTTATTATTCTTTAATACAGTACTTCTAGAACTTATGAACTAGAGAAGTGTCCTGGCCTCATTCCGACCTACAGCTTATTCTGCTGTATTCTTTAATTTAGGTCCCGTCTGCATGTTAATGTCTCAAGGCACTTTTTTTAAATATTTTTGTTTGAAAAACTGACACAATCAATATTAACTTTTTCTTTCATTACATGCAAAGATTTTAACTGTACTAAATGAGTCGCGAGTTCGGATCACAGTGCGAAGAACGATAGTATCTTATTTGATTGCATCGTACTGTTTATGAAATAGATACGATATTAAAAATCGCTTTTTATGCTACATATATCTCCGACAAACACTGCAAGAAATCAATAGTCATAATTTCAAATGAGCCAATATAAAAGCAGGGTACTGCAAAATAAAATTGGCGAATATAAGAAATACGTAATTTATTTATGTTATTATATTAGAAAGATTATCATGTATACCAAAAAACTTTTCTTTCATATATAATGTCTCATTTTATCAAATTGGAATATTGTAATGTACTGATAATAACTATGTTAACTTTCAAATATCTGAAACTATTTAAATCGTTCTGTTACATGTAAAGTATCTCTGGCTTTTTGAATTTCGAGAGACATACACATTATATATAACAGATACATTAAAAATGTTGAGCAATAATGTACACACACATTTCTATATCCTTGACTTATGTTATTGATATTGTTTTATATAATTATTTATTTTTACCATGTCACAGCAGAATGTTTATTTTGCAACTATTGAGTGTTTCCTTCGCTGCGATAGGACTATTCCTCTAGAATGTATAATCACAAAGAAAATTTCATGGAAAAAATGTTATGATTATCTTAACCGAAAATAATGATATTTTTTGTTCAATACAATTTGGCTATAAGTTATTATTATAATTATTATAACCAAATTGTATTCATGGACAAAAATATCATTATTTTCGATTGTGACAATCATAACGCTTTTTCTGTGTTTCAATAATTGCAAGATAAATATTCTATTGAATATGATCTTTAAGATTAATGTTTATTATGAATAAAATGTGTAAGGATTTTTTAATATACTCCAGGTATATTAAAAAGTCATGAATCTTATTTTTTCGCATTTCTAATAATATTTTCATGAAATATCATATATCGAATTCTTTATAAAATTGAAGTTGAAGTTCTAAGTTTTTAAATATAGACAATTCCATGTTTTTGATTTACAAATAAATTAATGGTTAACAAAATCTATTATGTATATTATCGTTTCTTCTGCGCTATCCGCGCTATTTTTGCATGCACCCTGTGTAGAAAATCTTTATCAGAAAAATTGAATTTGGAGTAAATATCAATGATTAAAATTATTGCACAGCAATTTCTTGCAGCTTTATATGAAAAATAGACAAGTCTCATATTCGATAAACAGAATAAAGTTTGGTCGAGTATATATCATAAAGAAGCACATATTCTTATCAACAAAATGTTGACAACCTAGTTTCACTATCAAATAACATTTTAGTACAAACTTGGACTTAAATACAAGATCACAATTTATATTTTGAAGCGACACGTAATTGACACATACGTCCTTTTGCATTTCGATATAAAAAGCTCTCTTGTGCAGTAATATCATTTCACTAACCACAGCACAGAACACCTCTTCTTTGTACGCCTTTATCATTTTGGGCTCTGATATTTATTTCTGCTTCGAGTTCGTCCTACATAATTGCAATACCTCATGAAAGAAAGAGCTCAGATTTATTGTTAATGCCTTTTAATACAATATAGATATTAATTCATATTGTATTACGAAAAAGCATTCGTCTTTTAAAATACAATATGCATATTAATCCATATTGTATTATAAAAAGTATCTTTTATAATATATTCATCTTTTATAATATAATATGGATATTAATTCATATTATATTATAAAAAAATCAAAACATAAGATTGTAGATTTTGTTACAGAAGCTATTCAAAGTGCTTTCTTAAATCATTCATGCTCTATCCTTCAGGGTATAATTTGGACAGCATAAAATATGGCAGAACTTATCTTTTTCAAAACAAAGCAAGCTGTGCTGGGATTTATGTAAAGTGATTGGTAACTGCAGAAAAATGTTTGGCCATATGTAATACAATATACATTTAAACGAAGACTTGAAAAAAAAAAAAACAATGTTTATTTAAAAATCTAAATTACTCTTATCTAAAGATTTTTGTGATAAGCAACATTTTGCAAGTTATGTCTAGTAGCTTTGACAAGTTTCATTTTTCCTTTTCAGTAGAACAACTATTAGCAAATAGATCTGGAGAATGTACAGCATATTTTACTGAACTAATTGTTAATATCAAATAACATAGTTTATACACATACTCGAATTTCTTTTGATATATTTGTACCAACAATTTAACACAATTTGTGTAACATATATTTTATAAACTAAGCGATTTTTTTTGTTAAAATAATTTCATATTTAGGCAAATAATTGAGGGTAAATATACATTTTATATGTATATTTGTGTGTATGCGCGCGCGCGTGTGTGTAATGAGATACATATCTAGCAAGCTATGTTAGAATTTTCTTAACCAAAAGTACTTTAGAGTTAAAATATTTCAATAGTATAATTTAAAATAATTTTAAATTGTCAAGAAAATATTATAACTTGCTAGATGAGGAGTAACATTTTGTTTGAATAAAAAAATATCGAATTGTTATTTATAATAAATGTGTAAGAGATGTGTAATATACATTTTCACATGATAACTAAGTAGCAAATCTGCTGTCTCATAAAACAGTATGCACAAAACTGATGATCTCATGAGGATAAAATTTTAGTCTTATCTTTGTTAGAATTGCCTTAGTAATGTACAATTAATTTACACAAAAATAGTAAATAGGAAATGCATAATATTTTCGAAATAGTTATATAATGTTCATGTGCTACAAATATCCAATCCAGATTCAGTATAATTTGTTTACTTACTTAGTTAACCTAAAATTGAAATGATTAAGTCTTTATCGACTTAAAGGTGTTCCACCGAAGTTAAACGAAGTGGGCACAGTCTGTAAGTGAAAGACGTATCCTAAAAAATTTAAAATTATAGATTAATGAACTAATATACAGAATAAAAGAATATGCATATTATTAACTCATACATCAATGCAAATTCTCAATTATTAAAAGCAGTACAAGTTTACCTCCGCTTTGCTCGATCCTTTTACTCTCTAAAGCTGCTTTGCGTTGATCCGCCAAAAGAATAATTTCTTGTAAAGCTTTCTCTTGTTCAGGACTAAGAAGACTTGTTAAGGCTCTATACCAAGCCATGTCGGTTCTTTCAATATCTAGTTAAAAATAATAAATACACAATATGTATTTTAATACGTTTTAATACGTACCTTGAAATCATTTATATATATATAAAATATTATTTTTTAAATATTTACTTTGTATAACTTCCTTGAAAACAATATATTCATCTTGATTAGAATCCTCTGAATCTAAAGGTGTAGTATAGCTTTCAAGAGCAGTCTCTTCGTTACCATCATACTCTGAATCGTCATCATCGTCATCTGATCTGTGATCACCGTGTCCATCTTGTATAGTCGCATTAACGTTAAAACCATGTTGAGCAGAAGTTCGTGTTATCTTATCCTGTAATTTCTCGAGGTATTCTTGATTAGCATCATCTATATCGTCTTCGTCTGATGATAAGACATCTAAAAATCGAATTTAATTAGATTATATAGTTTATCATATATTTTATATTCTCTTATTTTTCTCTATATTTTCTTATTTTTGCTATAACTTTAAATAAAATATTTTGGGATCTTCATATAGGGATCTTCATAACATTTTTCTCTTATTTCTATTCATAGAACATATTACTAAAGTTTGTAATAAAAAATCTGGGACACTCT